CCGCGCGCCGCTGCGTCTCGGCTCGTCTGATCTGTTTCGGGCTGAATAGATGGTTCGACGCGATACGACGCAAGGTCCTCCAGTACACACCGTGAGGCGCGAACCCGATGGCCCGGCTAAACATCAGAGAGTAGGCCGATTCCTTAACCGGCCGGTCCGAGAATACCGGGCTGTTCAAGATCTCCTTAGCCACGTCCGGGTCACAGGTGACGATCACACGCGTGTCGCCTAGGCTGAAGGCCATGAGCCTCTTGGCCCCGAGCCGCTCCGCTACGGCGGGGGGTGAGCGACGGCGCTCGACATGAGCGACATGCTCCCGACGAGAGGGAGGCCTCGCGGGCCGGGGATGGCGGCCCTGGCTCGGCCACGGAGGTATTTTCCCCATGCAGGTCCTCCAGGATGGGCCCAGAAGAACAGAGAGAAGGCGAAGGAGAAGGAGATAGCGACGAGGAGGGAGAGAGCGAGGTGGGTTTGGCTTAGGACACTGCATTTAGACAACAGAGCGAAGATCAAGGTTGTGTAATCGAGCTCAGTGGCCATGGCGGAGATGAAGGAGAAGAAGCAGAGGAGGAGAGGACAAAAGGAGAGTGGCTTTTGGGCTGTGGGGCTTATTGATGAACGGAATCAGGATGGGTTGGGTATTTATATAGATATTCGCCCTCGGAACCCCCCTTGTTATATAATTAATTATTTTAAATAAATCGTTATATTCTTTTATAAATAAAGTAATTCTTAAATAGGATGTCTTTTTCGTTTGCGTTTTAAAATTCCATTTATTTTATTCAGTATTTAGTCGTACTTGATCTTTTTTTGCTAGTTTGAGTTTGTTATTGTTTGGATAAAACCATTGTGAGCTAATGTACTACTCTTCTCGTGCCGGTGCTTAAAATATTTATTCCAATATACATAAAAAAGCAAATTTCATTTTCATAATGTTTTTTTAAAAAAATGATTATGGTGCTGAATTTTAAAAAAAAAAATATCACGATTCAATATTTGTTTTTTGTTATTTAAAAAGCAACACCCCATGTAAATTATAGTTACTTTTAAAATACACCCTGAAATTCATGCATTATCAGAATGTATTATTTTCTGTTTGATTGATGGATAATTGGTGAAAAAAATGGATGAATAATTTCGTTTTTGAGCTTCCAAAAATAAAACAAAAGCTAAACCACTAAATAAAGATGATTGCACCGTTTTACTCACCAATTAGAAAAATACAGATCGAATAAAAACTTTTACAAATTAAATAAATAAAAAAAGATATGAAAATAAAAACTCCACTCAGGATCTCTTGCAAAGCAAGATGAAGTTTGTGACTGTTAAGTTGTAACTCATCATTTCGGCTCCACCCTTTTTTTTTTTTACTTTCTAATATGCACGTACACGCACATTGAACACGAGTTCCATATATGTATATATATATATATATATATATATATAATAATAATAATAAAAAAATTGATCATAAACTATTCTATGTATAATTCACCGAAAAAAACTATTGTATAGATATGTAATGAGTTAAATGTAGATATAGATTATAATTTTATATAGAAAATTTCATTCCCCTTAATTAATAATCTGCCGTTACTATATATATATATATGTGTGAACGAAATATGGATAGATTCTAAAATAAAGATTAAATAATATTTCACCGGTTATGAAATTTTAACGTGCACGCGCTTCACATTCAAAGCTCCATTTGATGCTATGTTTGATATGATTTACTCGGACTCCAAAACGTAATGGATTGTTCTCCTGGTATATATCCACTAATAACCGATCATTTAATTAAATCATTAATGAAAAATCGTTGAGTTAAATTCACAAATTAATTGCCCTAAAATGGATTGGTGACGGGTAAAAAAATAAAGGGATTTCGTGAAACAATATACAAATGCTACATGGATATATATATTAATTGTGGAATATCTATACTCATAAATCACGCAATATTACATTCCTATACTTTTTTTTTTATAAAAATTACATTCCTATACTTGATAATGCGTATTTAGTAGGTGTAAAACATCAAAATTCGTGATGTCTTAAATATATAAGATAGTCTAATTTATATGCCAATTATGTCATGTTATTGACCAATTTTATTCTCCCTTAAAATGAATTGTATATATTGTCTTAGCTATATACACAAAATATTTTAGTATTTAATATTGTTTGACTAAAATAAATTAAACGTTAACGGTTTTCCATATATACCGATCATTAATTAGTTGGCATTGATTGGAGTTTGAAGAAAATTTACACAAAGCATTGTAATATTATAAATGATAATCTAAAGATTTAAATTAAATAAATAAATTAGTAACCGTTCCGTGGGATTGGAGTTTAACGGTTGAGCGCCGCCATGCGCGAGGGATGTGAACTCATGAGTTACGTGGGCGCGTGAGTTTCACTCTCCAATCTCCTTGGATCTATGCTTCTTCGCGTGACATCATATTTGCCGGGCTCCGCTTTCCAAATTTTTTAATTATCTATTTAATTTTGTTATTTCTTCCGATTAATGCGTGTTACAACTGCTTAGTATAGTTTAATACCCAAGTTGATATATAAGCATCATTAAGTATATTATTACATATTGATAAAATGGTACTTTTAGCTAATGCTGTTGAAATCGTAAATTAATTTAAAAAATTATCAATTTTAATCGGAAATTAAAGTTATAATAACATTTATGCACCGGATAACAACGGTCGTTGTTCATGTAAAATACAATAAATGGGACAACTAGTTGTCTTTGATGGCGTGATTTTCGTTATATTAATAGTTGACTAATTCGAAGACCGTTTTAATTACTCTGCTTGGATCACCCATTTGACACTTTCAATGGAATCCTTATTAAAATTACAGACGTGGAAGCAATTAGGTAACCATCCAATGGAATCTTCACATCTGTCTATGCATTTTATTTTTTCAAAAAATATTTTTTTTCTCACATATTATTTTAAATATATTATACACGAAGACTTTAATTTTAAACAACATGACTACTCTAAGAACCCCCAATGTTCGGAATTTAGAATCGACTTAATTTTTTTTTTTTTGCCATGTGTATAAATATACCTCAAGTGGTATTGTTAAAACTTTCCCTTGAATAATAATTTACAAGTGCATTATACTATTCTTTTATTTTTTTTTAATCTAAAAATAATTTAATCAGACAACTATAGTTGTCTACTGTGATTCAAAGGTATATAATATAAATTTCAGTGTAACATTATTATACTCTCTGGTTTGTAGCATATTGTTAATTTTACATTTTCGATTACGTGAATCTGATCTTCCTATATGCAACTGGTATGATGTGATACAAATTTTTTTTATTCAATAACAATATCGTATCTTTTCCACATATATCTTTTTTTATGGCTCACGAATTTATTTTTCGTTGAAATTTATTTGGTAATTTATCACCTTTTTATAATTATTTGTCAAACGTTGTATCTTACCGTAAGATTAAATGAATCAACCTATGAGAAAATCGACCTGTCGGCGTCATAATATAACATTACATCTTATATTATAAGTTTTTTTTCTTTCAAAATCTTATATTATAAGTTTATAAGGTGGCATTTTTTTTTCCTGAATTTAGTATAAATGAACCAGCCGAATAGATTGCAACGTTATTTTGTTTTCCGAATATAGTTAAGGCATTATAGTAAAATGAGTCCTTTTTACGACATTTAGCCAATTAAAGTGATTTGTAGATAACGATTACAAAACTAAAGTTACATCTCGACGTCGTCCCCATCATCACATTGCCTGAACTAGTCATCTATGTTGGGATTTTTAGAGTAAATGAATGGGAATTTAGAATCTCTCAAAAGGATTCATGTTTCATGTGTATTACAAGTATGGTGGAGGAGTTAAATGCTTGTAAAAGACGTGGTATGAATTGGCTAAGTGTTAAAGATACGTCGAAAGAGTTTACGTTCGGTTTTGAACGTGAAAGGTAATCTCAGAAAAAATGGGAGGGCAGCTCGAAAATATGAGCTGGCAGCCTGTTTTTTCTGAGGAATAAAGCTCATAAATAAATGGGCGGTAGCTCGAAAAACCGGGAGGGCAGCCTGTTTTTTCTGAGCAATTCGGAAATAAACGGGCGGGTAGCTCGACAAAACGGGCGGGCAGCCCGTTTTTTCTGAGCAGTTCGGATTTAGCGAAAAATCGCGACCGTTCGGGAAAAACTTCCGATTTCTTCACACCTTTCGACGTTTGAAGTGTTTATTAACACCCCTGGACATCCTAACATGAAATAGAACAAGAGATAACAGATCTAAGTTATTTTTTGAGAGATTTGAGAGCACTTTTGTGGTTGTTCTTGCAAAACACCCACAAAAGCCTTTTGTTCATCTTCTTCTTGCAATTTCTTGTGTTTGTGTTCTTAGTAGAGCAAACTAAGATCACTTCTCTCTTCATTGTATCTCAAAGACGTATTCCGGAAAGTCCTTTGCTCGTATAGGACGGAATAACGTTTTTAGGAAAGTGTATCATGCCTTGAAGAGTTATCCGGTTCCTATTTTCTTTTCTGTTATTGTTCTTTCTTTTTATATCCCAGTTTTTCTAACAATCTATACATATATATATATATATGAGAATTTTAATGCAATATGGTCTGGTTCGATCCACAAGTAATTATATAACAACGTCCCCGTAATAATAAATCAGTTGCTACTATAATGTAATGTAGGTTTCGAAATAGAATGTTCTTTTTGTCTATAGAAAGATTCCTCATAAAATTTTGTAATCGAAAGAACATTCGAAGAATTTTCCTTCTCTGTTACATATTATAACACGGAATTTCAAACAAGTGATGCATTGAGTTGCATATATTTACGAGATATAATCTACAAATGGCCATTAAATTATATAATTATAAGCTAAACTTTGAAATAAATAAATAAATAAATAAATCGACCTTTAGGTAAGTGCTCCAGCCAGGGATTGACCCCCCGTGGGGAAGTCATTCTCCTCGGACACAGATGTATTGTGTGTATCTTCATTGTCGGCTAATATACGGTCGGATGCACGCGATTCGCATGGATCCGTTATTATCAGCCGTCGATGTTTTTCACGGTCGTACGGATTTAAAACGCCGGCCACGTGTCCTGTTCCTGCAAACTTCCAACAGCTTTAATCGCGACAACCCACCCGGCGTGGGTAATTTAGATATGCACACGCGGCGTGTTCACAGAATAAATCGAATTACCAAAATGCCCGTGGTCGAATCCGAGGTTAGGATTAAAGGAAGGATACAATAGTCATTTTAGATAATCAGACGATCACATGATCTGCGTAAACACAAAGCTATCTGGTCCCCGATCTGCTGTGAAGTGTTTGTCGATGCCTTCATCAAACGGTCAGGATCTCTTGTGTCGCACGTTCAGAAGTGCCTGACCGTTGATCTCTCAGCCACAAAAAAAAAAAAGAGGGAAAAATAATTTATATTTAGCACCTTCCTATTAAAAGAATACATCATATTACCGTTGAAAATACCAGAAAAAAACGTCATTTTCCCGACCCAACTCGATCATACACCGTAAATTATGTTCATATCACTCAAATTTGAGAGATATATAATTTATGTACTAATATTTTGTG